GTATATCATTATGTGTTAAATAATGATAAAGTTGATTATATACAAATCTTTCAATGATTTTAGATAATATAGGTAGGACAGAGATTGGTCTATAATTTTCAGTGTTTGATCTATCACCACTTTTAAATATTGGTGTAACTTTGGCTATTTTCCATGCTGATGGGAAAGTTGCTGTACTTAAAGATAAATTTATTATATGAGCAATAGGATAACAAGTAATGGGAGAAGCAATCTTAATTAATTTTAGATCAAGCTCATCAATACCAGAAGCTTTGTTATTTGACAAAGAATTAATTTGATCAAAAACTTCTTCAGGTAAAATTAATTCAAAATTAAATTGATTATTTAAGTGTAGGTTATTAGTATTGTTAGAATTGTGAGAAAGATTATTATTAATGTTTTGAGCTAATGATTCACCTATGGAAGAGAAATATGAGTTAAATTTGTTGGCTATTTCAAATTCATCGGAGATAATTTCATTTCCAGTTATAAGAGAATTTACTGATTGTTTTTTATCATTACCAGTAATATTTTTTATAGTTTTCCAAATTTGGTTGGGTTTATTAACACTTTCATTAATAGCTTTTGAGGGATAACAGATTCTTGCATAATATTTAAATTTGAAATTGATTTCATTTAGAATTTCTAAAAATACAGATTTCAGTAACGAAGATTGATAACAGCAAGTCTTCGATAAGAATTTGAAAGCAAAGTGCGCATAAAATAATGAAAGGAATTTTAAACCAGAGGCCTGCGGGCGTCAATGTTCCTATGCATGATGCATGTTTTATTTCCAGGCAATATGAGGTTGGGTGGATTTTGTGTTGTGGTGATTTACCTTGAGAAGTTAATTCTTTGCATTTGAAGATTAAGAAAATGTATACTATACTTACACATCAGGTATAGGCCTAAATAAATGCTTCACTATCTCCCCGCTGCCCCTGGCAGGAGGTGCTATTATACTTTATTATTACATCTATTACAATAATATTGTTATTTTTATGCTGTTGAAATAATTGATGAGGCAAAAAAAAAATTTTTTTTAATCCTGCATCAATATTTCCCAAATTTTTGACGCGGGCGGGAGTGATAATCTAATAAATTTTTCTTTATGCCTTATAAAAATAAATAAATAAAATAAATTTCGTTAGTCTAAAGAAGGTGCTACTGTACTCCCATCTAATTAGTGTATTAAAACAGGCCCATCACAACTGGATACTCATTTATCTGGCCTAGGCTTAGGCTATAAAATTACTTTAAAAATTGTACCCCATGTTTAAAATATTCTTTAATTCATCCCCTGGAGTACATCATTCCGACTCTTTGTATTGTAGAGAAATAATAGAAAAGGCCTAGGCTAAGCCCAATGCTAATCTTTCACGAACATTCAACATTGATATAGGCTATGAACTCCAATATTATATTAATAATGAATTCGCTAACAACATCAAAAGAGAGGCCAAACGTCCTAGACTCGGCCCTAGGCCGAAGTTAAGTACTATACGCAAACTGCACTAGCTAGGGAGCCTATATCCGCATCCGTGTCTGTGTAAATCTCTACACTTGTTAATGTTGGTTGTGTGTGCCTAGGCCTATCCCATTCTCTCCAGTTTCTGCATTATTTTAACAATAAAAAGTAACAATATAGTAGCTTACCATAAACGAGTTTGGATTCAAATCGTACGGGTTGAAGCATAACGTTCACATTCACATCATCCAAAAATAGTAGAAAAGAAATCACAAAATAAGCACTGTACTGTATCAGATAAAATGTATCAGTATGTTACACCAAAGATCGTATAGCGCCGCTATGCGGCGCAAGATAGGTAACTCCTATCTCCACAACACTACGCCCTATGTAATCGCATGGACGCCATTCGAGCAAGCAAGTTGAACGCTCCAGCTAGCAAAATACCCGGATGTTAATGTAAACAAATAGGAAACATGCTTCAATATCATCACTGTTTAGGTCGATTTCTGAGCGGTAATTTTATATCAGTAAACAATTATTATGTTTGAAACATATTGTTTAGTATTCCATTTGTATTTTTTTAAACTTTTTTTTTAACAGAACTTTATTTTTTTAACATTATGTTGATCTCCAGTCCAGCGACCAGTAGGTTGTATGCAGGGTAGGCTTACCACAATTAGTTTAGCGATATCGTGAATTACAGTTAATTTTCATTCTTTTTGTGTATATCAGTTGACTTGTTATATTCGGTTTAATCTTTTTGGTTAAATAATTCTATATTTTGAAGAAATTGCATCTCATACTGTACTGTAAAATATTATGGTAATACAAATCGTTCTAGAAAGTACTGCTTCTTGTATTTTTATTCGTGTGTACCAAATACTAAATTCTTTGCGTTATTAATTAATAATTATCAAAGGCTTGGTCTCTGGACATCATCAATATACATTCAGAATATGTTAATAGACCTGATAGAGATTTGCTGCCCCACCCCGCAGCAAAGCTGCCCCGGGGCACACGGCTGCTGTCGAATGCCTTGAGTAGGGCAGTGCCTACAGGTTTTGTAGTATATTATTTACAGCATACCAGTATGCCTTTAGTCATGATTAGGCAAGAGTTTTTTCAGTAACTTGTTATGCAAAACTGCTACACACAATATATTGATGATTTGGAATTGATTGATGTTATTTTTGGCGAATTAGCACACCTGCCGCCATAACAAATTGAAATTTTAGATAAAATAAAATTGTTTCTTTATTCTTAATATGCCTGCTGCTGCCTTGAAATCTCCAAAAATAAGATGTATCCAGTATTTCTTCCTAACTACTGTATATTAATTTAAGCGTTTAACCATCCTATTATTACACTGGTTACATTCACCACAACAAATTTTATTTTTATTTTTTCCTCCTGGATTTTCCACCCTCCTCTGAGGATCCTCAAAAAAATAAGTTTAATTGCTGCCATATTTGATTTTGTGTTTGGAGTAGTTATAAAGGTGTTTTATATAATTGACAATTTAAATGAGTTTCGACAATCATATTCTTATAGCTGGGTAAATAATTATCAAACACTGCAGGAAAAAAAAAAAGAAGTCACAGTTAAATAAAAAAATGTGTTTCTTTATTTAGTTCAGTGTTAGTTTATTAATGACCAGCAAGTGAAATAAAGTATAAATAACAATTTCAAAGTTCTAACCTTACTCAATGTGATGTACACAACAGTACTGTCTTAATTTACAATGATTAAACAGCTGTCTCTTATACACATAAATTAGCTAAATTATAAAATGTTCAGGTAAATATTAACATTGATGGAGAGCCTATTACTCATGTCAGTCAATGTAAACACCTTGGTGTAATACTAGATAAGAGCCTTTCTTGGTGTCCACAAAGAGATCATGTAAAATCGAAGGCTTTGCAGAGCTTGTACTATCTGAAAAAAGCCAGCCAAATTCTTTCCTAAGATGTCCAATGCAAACTATACAAATCACTCGCGGGATGCACATTGAATATTGCCATGTTGTATGGAGATGTACAAATCAAATACAAAGTAAAACTCTCCAAGTTCTACAAAACCGTGCAGCTAAAATTATTTTAAACAAATCGAGAAGTGATTCCAGTACTCAAGCTCTGCAAAGCCTTAAATGGATGAATTTAGACCAAAGGTTGTATATAAATGAAGCCATCACTATGTATAAGATTATGAATACGGTAACCTTGTACCTCATTATTTACGTGTATCTAACAGATTTGTCTCTAACTAAACCAGAATTAATATTGCCAAAACCAAAAACTGACTACAAAAAGAGAAGTTTGTCATATAGAGGTGCCAAACTTAAGAATGAAATTAGTAATGATGCTAAAAATGTTGTATGAAATTGTCCTTATTTAAAAAGTATATAATTGCGACATTGTAATAACAGGTACACCGGTAACAGTTAACACCTTTATGGTAGTTTCTTACATAAACTACAGTATTTTTGTTTTGTTCGAGTTTATTTTGTGTAATTAAGTTAGTTTAAGATTTAAGTCTAGTTCAGATAATTGTGTGTTTAAACAATTGTTTGATTTGTTTATTTTAAGTCATTTCATTTTTTTTCTGGTTAAATTGTTGTATACACGGCCTTACAGAATAACAACTTTTAGTTAAGTTTTCCGTGTTTTAAATAAAGCTTATTATTATCGCTTACATAAACATATTACCTACATCTTATCATGGTTTAATTGTAATTAATTCGCCCATTAACTTGTCACTGAACTTATATTTTGAAGTCCAATCAACTGATTATATCTTTATTACATAAATTATTAGGGAAAATCAAACTATTTTAAATACTTGACTACTTTGATATTCTTCAGCATTTTTTTTTTTTATAATTCAGCAATTTTTTCTTATAAACATGTTATAAACATTCAAATATTCCTAGCATACTTCTCAACTTCAATCAAATTGGTCATGAATCTTTCTCTTTTTTAATTTCCTGCCGTTTATATAATATTGTGTATCAACATGCTGGTTTTTTATTGCGTGATATTTAATTTTTTATAACATGTGCGTTCCTCTTGTGTTTGAATGATTTCTATTGTATTTTTGTATTGATGGTTGAGGGTTCCTGTGGAAAGCAATTTATATAACTGATCAAGGTTTCCCTCATTAAATAAAACTATTTGAAAATGATAATAATGATCCGTTTATGTGTCCACCACCCATCCATCATCCACTCCACCCACCCATCTATTCATCGTTCATCATCCATGCAGTTGCATCCGTGTATTCATCCATGATTGCATCCGTGCATCCATCCTTCTATCAATCATGAAAGTATTCTTCAATGTGTGCATCCACCCACCTAACTTCCCATCCATCCATCATTCATGATTGCATTCTTCCAGATCATACTCGTCGTCGTCAGAGGGCGCGTGCTATATTTTATTAGATGTCAGAGCAACAGAATGGAATTTCTAGTTCTATCACCGGCTGTATATAGGTGTTTTTTTGTTTGTTTTTGTTTTATTTTTCCCTTTTTTTCTCTTTAATGATTTTATGAATAGACATTGACTATACTTCTGTTGTGTTTTTGATATGTATACTTTTACATCAGTTTCACATTTCATTTATTATATTATGTGCTTGTTTTTATTTATCTATCTACTTTTATTTACTTTATTTTATTACATATTTTTATTTTTTTTATTTATTTTATTTATTTATTTATTTATTTTTTTATTTTTTTATTTTTTATATTTTTTTCCCCCTTTTAGTTAAGATTTTAAACTTTAGAATATTATATTATTTTAATTGGATTTGGATTTTTCATTACTATTGTCTCTTTTTTTATGAATTTATCTTTACTTGTAACTTTTGTTCTGTTGTATGGTCGAACCTCTCCTGCGTGAGAGTGTTCCTAGAGCAACAGAATGGAATTTCTAGTTCTATCACCGGCAGCAGGTGTTCATGTCGTTTCGACAATATTGCAACATTAAGTGCTGTTTTTTTCTTCATTTTTGTTTGTTTTTGTTTTATTATGCTTTAGGATTATATAAAAATTGGATATTCAACCTAGACAAATATAAAAATGAAAACAATGATTGTTTAACTGGGAGGAGTGGAGTTGAGTTGCTCAGTTGGTGGATCTTGCCTTCCAATACCAGAGTCCTGGGTTCAATTCCTGTCAGCGTTGTAGAATTGAAAAACATGTCAGATTTAGATTCAGATTTATTGATCAATCATATAAAAATACATGAAATTTGTTTTCCTTAGTTTTAATACACACATAAAATTCATAAAAAAATAAGTACATAAAATCCATTAAAAAACATTCTATAATTATACAAAATATTAGTGTAAAAAGAAATCACAAAGGTATTACATAAATCATTACAACATAAAATGCATAAATATTAAAACGTAACATAAAATGCATAAATAATAAAACGTTATATAAAATAGACATGACAGAGCCGTTAAAAACCAATAAAATCTATTAAAAACAGATAAAATTGCAACTACAGAGACTGCCTTGCATTTGTGCATTAAAAACCTACCTACTGAATTTACTATGGGCTGATTGCACTTGAGATAAAATAATTTTAAGTTGGTTTGTTCGATTTTTAGTTGCCTAAGTCTTCCTGATTGTTTATATGTATTTCATTTGGAAGGGGATGTGTATCATTGCAAATTATTCCTTGCAGTTTAGTTAAAATACTTCTTCAACAATTTCTTTTGTGGGATTTACATTTTGTTGATAGTTTACTTGCAACAGTGATCACTTTAGATAATATATGATGATTTTTATTAGTGAGTTCACAGAACCAGGGTATACAGCAAAAGCAAATAATGGATGCTCCTAAAAGGATAATGTTTCTTGTCCAACTTTAAATTTGCTTAACTGCCTTGAAAACATAAACGTTGTCTGCATTTACTATACAAATTATGTGTGAGTGTCCTACTTAAGCTTTATTATTGATTGTAATTCCAAGGTATTTGTATTCATTTGGTATCAATATTCTTGTATTTTCTTGTCATTTCATTGAATATTAGTCATTTCCTGTAGAAATTGATCATACCAAATGTCTCTTACCACCGGAACTTATAATGACCGGATTCACTATATGACAGACGGATGCTATTGGGGATTAACAAATTTAATATCAAATTTGCTATATTCATATGTCTCTGCAAACTTATCAGGTATTTTAAATCAAAACTTAGGCCTTATATTGCTTTTTCAAAAAGAAAAAGAAAAAAAAATAGGCCTATTAAGCTTTATAGACACATATGTTATGAACAAACTTCTTTTACTTAGGAAAGTTATTTTCTTTCTCTATGAAAAACACACTCCACTGTTGTAGGATCGAGTCTGATTATTTTTTTCTTTAACTAAAAATTGAAATAAGAAAAATTATAGGCCTATTCCCTCGCGAGACAGATATTAGGCCTGCCACACCATTCATATGTTAAAAGATAATTCAGTGACTTTTCTCATAATCATTTTTGACTCAAATACCAGTTTTTTTTGGTAACTGCATTGTCATTATTTCAAAATTGTGACAAAATGGACTTTAAATATAATTTGATAATTCGATCTTTACTGTGACATCAATTCAAAGTTGAACCTTTTCTTAGGCGTGTAGGACTATTGCTATGTGTAGGCATAATAATAGTGTATAACTTTTCTTTTTGCAGTTCGATTTCACGCCCAAAATCAGTCTTTTAACTGTATCAGGTAGAATAGTGCGGTGACGTAGCACAAAACGTACCATTAGTTGGAAATACAGTATTAGAGAAACGGCGTCGTATCTCTAACTAGAGTTATATTATCATGGCCTCTTCCATGATCAAGGAAGAATTCGATGGTGATCCCGGAGGAAGGTTGGTAACATAGGAGTAACTAAAATTTGATTTAACCGGCTATACGAACTTTATATAGATGTTTATAGTCTTTATATGTTTGTGTGAATAATAAATTGTCATTTTGAAAGCTATAGTATAAAATTTAGGCTAGGGCCAGGCCTAGCCTAAAGGGCTAGGCTACTCATTCAGCAATAAGTCGAGATAGATGACTCATAAGCCATTCCGGTTTGTTGACATTGGCAATGTGTGTGTGAAAGCAGCACTACATAGTAGGCCTAGGCCTAACATGGACGTGTACCAGGCCTAGGTAAAGGTAGGACTGCCAACGTTTATTATATATAGGCCTATCTATATCACTTTATTCCAAAATTTGTAGAATCTCAATTTATAATAACCTTTGAGTTTCCAAACTCTGATCAAGTCTTATGGATTAGGCTAACGCTTTATTCTAGTCAAAACGGCAATAAACCAATAGGTCTACGGCAATAAACCAATTAACAGGCAATAATAAGTCAAAACGGCAATGACCAAAACAGCAAAAAAAACAAAACCGCAACACTTTTTGATCAGAACGGCAATGAACCAAAACAGCAATAATTCAAAATGGCAACAAACCAAATATAGGCCTAAATAAATAAAACTTTTAACACACAAAATGAGGCTACAGCAATTTATGTCATAAGTTAAAAAAAGCGGAAAAACATTAATAATGATTAGGGGAAACACAATATAAAAGCATAAACATCAAAATAAATACAGTACAACTTTAAAATACAGACAAAATTAGACTAAACAATTCGTCCCGCGCCCGGCGGCGCTTGCTCTTCAGATATTAATTTTGCTCCTTTGTGTATTGTCGTTTTGGTACATTGTCATTGCCGTTTTGGTACTTGTCACTGCCGTTTTGTTTTATTGCCGTTTTGGTTATTTCCGTTTTGGTTATTGCCGTTTTGGTCATTGCTGTTTTTGTTCATTGCCATTTTGACCTGCTACCGTTTATACAAGCAAACTGTGTAGGCCTAGCCTAGGCCAACGTAAAGCTTACGTACAGTAGCCCCATTCCCAACAAAATTTCACTAAAAAGAAATTATTTTTGGTATTGTCGCTGTAATGAAGTACCTAAACTAAGTTGTGAAAAAATACTTGTAGAGCTATTTATTTTATTATTTTTAATTATTATTTTTTTTTTAGGTACAAAAAAGAAAATTTACAGTTAACTACAGTCCACCCTCTAATTCAAGACTCTAATTCTGAGACCCTTTTAATTCGAGACCAGTTTCTCAAAGAACCAAGAATCGTCAGTTTTTAACACAAAGCTAACCCTCTAAATAATGCAGACCGAACCCCGAGACCACCCCAAATTTTCAGGTCCCAAAGTGGTCTAGAATTAGATGGCGAACTGTATTACAATTGGATAAAATGGCTGTGGTTTTTGTTACATGGTTGGGTGCAAATTTGAGGTGATGATTAGTGGAGTTGGCTTAATCCCAACCTGAAACTTCAGTTTTGCTATCATAATGCACTGTGGCATGTCGGAAGTATAAACATTTCCCATGAAAGATGAATTAAAATAGAAAAAAAAAAACAGTACTGGACCCACTATTATCATTGAAAATATACATAATTTTACTGAGTCAGGGAGTTGGAAGAGTTCAGTTATTGGGGGATAATTAGAATTTACTGAAAATTGTCTAGAAAATCATATGAAAATATGTTTAATCATCCATTGCTACTGGGTTTTCTACTAGCATTCAGCGAACCAAAGTTGAAAAAGAATTTTCCAATTTGAGATTTATCCCCCATACAAGCCCTACTTTGTACGAAGATCTGTTTAGTCCCAAAGGCAAGCTGCAAACAACACCTCTGCTATGCTTTTATTTATCATTTAATAAATGAATGCTTTGTTGTTTTTTTGTTTTGAGTTATGTGAGGTTCTTATTTTTTATATAAAACATTTTATATTAGAAAAAGTCAACCTTTATACTTTCCTGGTATTTTATTCATGTCAGTATAGTATAGCTGAATGGCAACTCCAAGAGGCTAAGTAAAAAGTGAAGTTGTTTCAAATCAAATCAAAATAAATCAATTTTATTCAAAATATTTTTTTTTTACCAGCCTGTTAGTGGCGATGATTCGCTGTTGGTCTGATGAAATGAAATAAATAAATAAATAAAAATATCGTCTTTGTAGCTTTCCAGCTAAATTGCGACTGATTGTAAATAAAGTACTATGAACTTTTGTATACAAACTACATGATTATTATTAAATTTATTCTAAAAAATCTTACTTTAATAGATAAAAAATCAAATAGCTATGAAATAAAAATGATTAATTCACTGATATAGAAAAATATATTATAATTAGTAAGTACTATTATTAATTTATTATAATTAGGTGCCTACTGTCATCATACTTGAAAATATGTCGATTAAAGTTTGAACATCAAGAAAGCTTAAATAATAATAATAATAATAATTATTATTATTATAGTAATAATATTGGTGTCTTTCACAAGGCTGTTTTCAATAGACCTTAGTTACAAATATAATGAAGAAACTTAAATATCAAACATCAAATTGAATTACATATACTGTACAAAGAAAAGTAAAAATTATAAAGACTAAAAAGTGATGACAATGTACAGAAATTTTTTTTTTCATTATAATATTATACAAATATGTCATTATCATTATAATTATTTTTTTTAGAGAATTTTCAGGTATTTACTGCACATGCAACTGAAAAATGCTTTCTAATATCACACAACATGGTTATCTTTAAATAGATATTGCAATGTTATTGACTTTGAAACTACCTTTTCTAAATCCAGAAGCTTGCCCTTTGTACTTGGCCACCTATAAGCATACAGACAGGGGTCATTCGATGTCAAATCAACATATTCTTCGAACTTGTAGATTGAAATTCCAAATTTCAGGAAATGATTGAAACCCAACAGCTAAAAAAATGAAAAGAAAAAAAAAAAACTTGTTTGCCCATGTTTTCTTAATTAATGAGATACATGAGCTAACAAACTTCTGTATTTAGTGTTCCTAACTTTTTATATTTAAAATTACTGTTACCTTGTATTTATTGTGCAATTTGTATTTTGTTTGTTTTGTACGTCTTTTATTGTAGTACAGCATTTATTATGCAACTGGAACCAAATTGTTTATGTATCATGTTATAATATGTTACAAGAATAAATATATTTATTTATTTATTAAACTTTATTTATACTAGATGGCAGGCTCAATGCAAACGCACTGATTTTCGTTCATTGTGGTCAGTTATAACATAAAAATGCAATTCACATTACTGATATGTTACTGATTTTGTTCATTTTATAGAGATACATTACAAGAACTATTATTAACACTAAAATCGACAGTTGAAGGATTGCTAGCCTCACATTCAACCTATGTATGGTCAACATATGGTGGTCTCACCAGGCTCTGTAATGCTGTTAATAAAATACTACGCCACCAGCTTAGACAAAATCAGGTAAGAATGATGGTGACATTAGAGAAAACAAAAAAATGTTTTGTTGTTAAGTACAGTGACCTGTAGACTGGATTCCAGTCAATAAATTTTGTCTTGATCAGTGAAAACTAATAAAAGTAAGTCAGTTTGGGCACCAATGGCGTTCCATAGTACTTATTTGCATTCCGTTCCATATTGTACATTTTCTGGATTTAATTCCATGATCCAAATTCAACAACATAAAAAATTTATCGATATAACCAGATGCTGGTGGCGCTCTTCGAAAGTATCTAACTAGGGAAAATGAATAAATAAGAGACTGGTGGCAAGTCTAAGTGACATGTAAGTATCAAGGAGGGTCGGTCAACAATTTTGTTCATTATTGACCAAGGCCTAATTCTGCTTGCGATTGCAAGGAGCTCATGTCGCATCAAACGCCAGTTTCCAGCTAGTTGCCAAACATCAGTTGATGTCACTAGGGTTGAGTCAAGTTGCAAGGGCGACATAAGCTTAGCTTTATGTGGAGAAAAGGTTTTTTTGGAACACTGATTGGAAAAATAATGTCCTTAGGAGAACATTCAAAAATATCTTTGATATCTTGCTATTTTGCTCACTTTCACATACTTTACTCTTTTTTGGAATGTATTAATGGCTCCTTTGGTTCATTGTTTCTTCAACAGTGCCCTCAAACATTATTTTAATTGTTTATTAGTGAATAAGTACAGAAGAAGAAATATTGCTATAGACTGATTGATTTTTAAAATTAGAAACATAGCATTTTCCCAGAAAAGTTGTGAGTAATAATAATTATAATAATATAGGGATATTAATTCACACCTTTTGCCAGGGGATGCAAGGCAGTGGCAATGTCATTGTTATTACCCTTGGTCATTAGATCCACAATTCGGCAAACTCGCACAAAGTACAACTCCTCCACTCCCTGAGTAATATTCCAATCGTACTTGCAATTTCATGCAGATACAGACTAATACAGTCAGTGCCACATCATCTTCCTGGGTGTTATGGTATCTGCCATCATCATTAATGATAAAGTAAGTACTTGAGCAAATGTAATTACTTCGGGAGTACCCTTTTGCCAACTAAACCAAAATAGTTGACAATAATTATTTTGCACATCCCCCCCACCCCCCTTAAATGTACTGGACTATTTAGTTTTAAGTTTTGTTAAACTTCAAATTAGCAGTGGCATATTTAAGCCTCTGTACTCCCAAAAATATTTGTGCGCCTCAGAACCCCTTTTCATTGAAGACTTTCTGTGCAAAAAATTAACTCAAATAGTTATTTTCATATCACCTTACTTAACCCATTTCCCCCATTCATTGAAGACTTTCTGTTCCAAAAATTTACTCAAATAGTTATTTTCCCTTCACCTTACTTAATCCGTTTCATTGGAACTTAATCTGAAATAATCAATTAATTAAAAAAAGAATGATCTATTAAAAAATGTATTTACTTACAATCAGTTAGCATTTTATAATACATGTACATTTATCACTTGCAGACACTGTTCACAAATCTTGATGATCATTGGGTTTTCATCAAGCGTCTCCGGACATTAAATCCAGTACTAGCACCCTCTATTGACCAGATAAGCCGGCAAGCTGTGGAGCAAGGATGCGTGAAAGGTGAACTGTGGGTTAAGATCAGTCTTGAGAATCTAAGTTTGTCATCACAGCTAAAGCAACTGGTTGAGAACGAAGAACATGCTCAACTCTGTTACTATGGTAAGTCATTTTCAAATCACTTCCTTTGATTGTAACGGTACATTATTCACCATGTCCCAACGGATCAATTAACAGATTGTTATTGTTTTCAGTGCCTAAACTTACTTCCTTGCCATTTTTATGAATGCTGAAAAAGTATTACTGGTAAATGTGACCAAAGCATGTATAAAATACAAGCATTTATCACTCAATCTTTGAACAAGTGATTGTAATATAAATCAGATTCAGATTCAGGATGTATTTGTCTTGAAATGTTGTGATCTTGCCAACTGCTGCTTAATTGCCAGTGGTCTAAAATTGCAGGAAAACGATCGCAATGGTGTTGCCTCTTTTGCAATAGTCTGTCTCTTCTGACTTTTACTTTCTGTGTTGCCTAGGATAGCTTTGTTTTTTCTTGTTTTTCCTTGTTTTGCGCATAGAGACCATGTACTTTGCGCTATATAAGTCTCCAACCATTACCATTACCTGAAGTGTTATGAATGTTAGGATGCTTTTATGTCAGGTCATTTCCCTGTCCTTGCTACACTGCTTAGGTGTGTTTTATGGGTAAAGACTAAATCTAGCAGCCACGAGGAACAATATATTTAAATATCATGAATAATCAATTACCAGATCCGGGAAGCGTGATGGCGGTGTGAGTCGTGTCTAGCGAATCCCAGCGAGCGTTGAAACAAGTAGAATTGTGTGTAGTCCAGCTTGCGAACCCTGTTTCAGCGTGGGTAAGATGTACTCGATATGTCAGCGTGTTGTAGGGCCTAGGTTATGGAGTGTCAATAAATGTTCACTGGAGTCTGTGATATCTCATGGACTCTTGCAAATTTTGAATTTATTTTTATTATTCAATGTAATATGATGTAGCAAGTTCTTGTACTGTATTTTTTGCTGTAGCAAAACCAAATATTTCTGTATTGTATTCTAATAGGCCTATTATAGTAAACATTAGCTTGGTCTGCGTTTGTAGAAACAGAAGCTGCTACTAAGCTAAGGTGTTTTTTTTTTGTTTTTTTTTTTTTACAAAATCCAGATTCTGCGAGGGCTGGCAGAGGTTCTTATGCAGACATTTGTAAAATATTAGACCCCACACTATAATGTAAAGAATTGTGAATAGAAAGGAACAAACGAAAACCATGGAGATCGATGTATGGTCATCATTTTACTTTAATCAACTTTAATATACAAATATTACCAAAAGTTTTATTTATATAGAACTAAATATAAAAAATGAGAATTTGTTAAAAAATGCGTCATAATTAATGAATAAATAATAATAATAATAATAATAATAAACCCTCCCCCCCCTTCCCCTCCTGAAAACTGTACCCAAGCCTACATTGACTGTGTACACAAATAAAGTGATGTAATAAAACTGAAACTACAATAAATCTGCTCCAAAATACTTGGTGTGAGGCCGACCGCAGAAGCGTTTTGAATAGATCCACTGTCATTCATAATTTGCTGATGACAAAATAATTATTCCAATGAATATTTAAACAATGTTCCTCGTGGCTGCTAGATTTAGTCTTTACCTGTTTTATGAGTGTTGTAGCTGGCAAACCCCCTCAAAACTTTGACCTATAGTAAATTTGCCATATTGAGCCAATGATTTACTGTAACGGAAATTTTTTTTAAATGGCCAGGCTGTATGTCATTATTGTTGATAATGTTTAATATAAAGGAAAAACACATTATCAACTGAAGATGATTTCATTATTAAATTTTATTATTAGTTATTCATTTAGACATATGGGCCAATGATTACAATTCAGATTCATTCAGATTCATATTTATTCACACAATGCATAAAGGTGGTAACAAGACAAAAATAATAAAGATGCAAGCAAAATCGAATGTAATTGTGTCTGGAGAAGTCAAATAAGCCCAAATGGCTTTACGGCTGGCTCCACCAGAGAAAAATAAAAAGTAATTTGTTTCATAATCAAAGACAAAACAAAACACGACGGAACGAACACAAGGGAAGAACGACAAAAGGAAAAACGACAATGCTTTAAAAAAAAAAAACATATACATAGATTTGAACATTACAATAATAATTATCACTGTCTTAATAATAAATCGCAATCCAATACACAGGAAAGATGCTCTACATAAACTAAAATAATAGAGAGTGGAATTTTTTTGTTGTGAGAAAAAATCATGGATAGGAATTGAACCCAGGACCATTTTCATTAAGTTACCAGCTCTGGTGACATGTAACTAGTTTTTCTAAAATGTGTTTTTGTCTCCTGCTAGGCTAAATGCACTTAAAAAAAAATATTAAACCAGACTGATTACATGAACTTAGTATATACTTCCTTTTGGTTTGTTATTGTTATCAACATGGAGACAATAGGAATTGGAACGAAAACCAAACTATATTCTTGACCTTGTTCTTGATTTGAATTTAATATTTCCTGCTCTGCAGGTTTGGGAATACAGCAATCACATAATGAAGTCAGATCTAATAATACTGATCCAACACATTTGAGAGTTGCATCATTTGCAATCAGATCATTCCCACTCCACTGGTCCCTCGTAGGGTTCCATCATATACTATGAGGTCATTCCCATGCCAAGTCGGACCACTGGTCCTTGGTAATGTTCTATCATTAACAATGAGGTCATTCCCACTCCAAATTGGACCACTGTTCCCTGGTAGGGTTCCATCATTTGTAATGAGGTCTCTACTGCCACCTTGGAATATGTGAATGAAAAATCTATCTTCTTCTTCACAAATAGATGTACTGTATATCTTGTTTTCAATGCGATACTTAACTGGCTGCATTATAATGTGTTGCATTTTTCACAATGATGTGATAGAATCTAGTGTAGACATGAAGGCATCCTCTATTTCTACATTTTCCCTTGCATCCTCGCCTTTTTTAAGCTGAATATGGATTCCACCATAGTCAATTAGCTTGTGTAAATAGTAATTTTAGAATCCGCTATTTTTAGACCTATTTTTCATAATGCTAATTTTTTCCTTGCCCTTAACAACAGTGTAATAAACATCTTAGGCATATTTCTTAGGCATATACTTTGTTCATTGTAAATTGTTTCAATTGGCCAAATATTTTAATCCCGATTTTTTATTACTGATCTTTTGAATCTTTTGTGTTGGTTGCTTATGTATGATTTTAGGTAAAGATGTTTGGTATAGGATAGGTACTTAATAGGGCTTGCAATTCTGACAATCCTCTTTTAATGAACGTCTTGTATGTTTTTGTCTTGTATTGCTTTTAACTGGTTATTAAATAAATTAAAAAATAAGGAGGGGGAGGGGCCTAAGTTAAAAAAAAAAAAATGAGGGAATAAAAGAAATTTACAGAACATTTAAATTCTAGTGTCTGACAGTGTCATATCCAAAGAGCCGTTGACATAAAGATTTCGTACCTCAGCCAAGAGGTACGCTAGGTGGTATTGACCCTCTCTGTAAAATTCACTTACTAATTTTAAATTCCAGGATCCGCCACTGTTTAGTGTTGTACTTTTGTGGCAAATCATCTTCTATCTATGGTCTTAATGTTGGAATGTTGACAATTAGTAATACTTTTCATGGTTGGTGGGGGTGGAGGTTTGTGAAGACTTTTGACATCTCCCGGGGGATCTGCGAAGCTGCGATGGCAAAGAGTTTGGAAACCACTCCAAATAGGATACTTGACCCATTTTAAATGAGGAAATAGAAGTAAAAATATCAATAAGAAACAAGAACTTTAAATATGAAAGTGAAAGTAACTTTGAAAAATAGTTTATGATGGAAAAAATCCAAAACTTGGGGTTTAGGTGAAGGATAGAAATGATGTTATCAATATAAAATATAATTTGGCTGAAGTAATTTAGTACATTAAATTACAATGTAAAACCCACAGAAATCTTCTCTCCCCTCTCAATCCCATCTTCATTTCCCTCACCCTCACCCAAAGAGAAATATATTAAAATGAACCAGTCAATGACAGACAGCTGACCCTTAACCAGCAAGTTTCAATAAGAGTTTTGTTTGTTTATATGAAATCTAATGAATGGTCTCTCTTTAATATAAGCAGTATTGTTTTTCATATATTAAATTTTATGAACTCAACACGTTGCATGACAAACCTGACCACTATGATTTTATTAATTAATTTTTTTAGACAGTGCTTTTATCCGAAGTCCTCCACATTTCTTGGCCCTTTACCTTTGTTTGCAAGCAGTGGAGCGTAACGATATATCTGTGTTAGCTGATATTGATCCATCTCTGGTAAGTAAAATCTCTATTTTTTGATATTTTATTTTGTTATATTGTCTTCATCAACAGAAATTATGAAATTGATGGTATGAATCTGAAACATATTTGATTTTTTAAAAATAAAGTTTCATGTTTGTTTACATCCTTGTAGATTTATAGCTCAGCTGCAGTCGATAGATTACAATAATTATGATGGATGATAATTGAAATTACATTAGATAACATAAAAAATTGGACTTAATTATTAGTATTCATTTTTAAAAAAAATATGTATTTTATTCAGTTTTGTGCAATATATGCAAACTATAAACTAGGAGTATCTACTGTAGGCCTACTAATTACAATAAATAACATTTAAAATAATTAAACCTAATAATAATAATAATTGGTTTTGTTGTTTTTTTCTTTATATAATACAAAAAGTATGTTTACTGCAAACTAGGATTAAACATAACGGTACATACTGTAAATGCTCGAATAAGCGCCGCGTCGCTTATAAAATGTTCGGAGGCTTCAGTGCGGCGCTTATTCGAGAGTGGCGCTTATAAGAGAGCGGCGCTTATAAGAGAGCGGCGCTTATAAAAACATATTGGGGTGACGCTTTCCATTCCCGTTCCCATGTTACCTATCCCACGTGTTCCCGTAATTCAGTAAACCTATCATAGGTAATATATAATCGTAAATAAACGTTTATAAAGAAATGCTTGTGTCTTCATTGCATTGTTCATATTAACACTATACATTGTATTTAAAACCTGTTACCCTGTTTCTTAAAGTGTTTCTTTACACACAGAAAAATATATACTCTCGCTTAAGCGCTGCGTACACTATTTGAGAGAGAGCGGTGCTTAGCGAAAAAAAATCAGGTTTGGTGTGGCACATTTGAGAGCGCCATTTATTCGGAAGCGGCTCTTAAGCATTTACGGTATTATTATTAATTTCAATGAATAGCCTGCAAAAAATAGGTCTACTGCATGTTGATTCTTTTTTCTTCAAGTAACATATTTTTGTATAATATTTTTATAATACAAGAGTGTATTGTTTACATCAGGCATAATATAATCAATTGTGTAGATGATTGTCATTGATGGAACATATAATTTTTTTTAATTAATTTATTTAACAGCATCTTTATATGGATAACATAATGAGTGATTAACTGTTTTACAATATTTTCCTGTTGTACAGATTAAAATAATGATAAAAAGATAAGATTTGAAAAATTTAACTTAAGTACAGGTGAAGGTATAAACAAGTTCTATAATAATTATTTAGACGTACCACATTCTATAATTAGGTCCATAAACTTTTGATTAAGAAATACTCTCATAAAAAGAAAGTGATTAACTGTTAACTGTTTTACAATATGGTCCTGTTTTACACAGATTAAAATCATGATAAAAAGAAAGGATTTGAAAAATTTAAACTTTAATACAGGTATAAATAAGTTTTATAATAGTTATTTAGAAGTACCACATTCTAAAACTAGGTCCATAAACTTTCGATTAAGTATACTCTTTAAAAAAAAAGTTACACACACTGCTGCAAATTCTTGCCATGGTTTGTTTTTACTGCAGATTTATTTGCTGGTGAGTGAAACTTAGTACAAAAGCATAGTTGGGAGTACATTTTATTTTTGTTATTACTGCTGTCATTATTGCTACTATCATTATGAATACTGTATTATTCTTATTCTTTCTATTCTTCATATTTTTGTTTACTATACTCATTGCTAGACTTTACCATCTGTCTCGTTATTGGTAAGTTAGATGTTACATTGGCGCTGATTTCTGTCTCTTCTGTCTGTGGTGTTTTTTTGTCCGGGTATGTGCTGTGAACATGGTTATAATATTGGATATTTAAATACCTGAAGTAAACAGTTATAAGTATAGTTATTTTATTTGAAAGCAAAAACTGGTACTAGCTTTTGTGATAGACAATAGTTTTATTAAAGTCCAACTGAATGGCCAATCAGTGTATAATACAAAATTTACATTGCAACACTATCGTAGTGAGTACAGTACCAAGAGTCAAAAATTTTGTTTAAAAAAATTATTTTATACTGAGCAATTTGAATGTAAGGATTATAAAAGTGTATGAATTTTTCTAAGTTTATGAAATTGTATATGACTCTACTGATTATATGAAAGTATAAAACATGTTTACAAGAAGTTGCAGCCCATGACCAGGAAGAGTTTCATTAAAAAAAATATTCTCTTTTAATAAGTTACATATTATAAAGAAATTCAGTTGTTTGGTTGTATAGCTCAGCACAGCCAGGACTTCATTTGTTATTTCCTGGACACAGGTCCTGTACAATTCCCAACATTTATGTATTTCCTAAGATTTTGGAAAAACCATTGTTTTCCTTTGATGTCTTTGGGGGTCATTCAACATTATCAACATTTTCACAAGTGTACAAACAGTATGCTTGGGGGAGGGGATAGCAAATTTTGTACATTATTGCATTCTGTATGCATAAAAGTGTTGATTCAAAATAACATGCAATATGTAAAATAATGGTAAAATTATTATCTAACCATGGATATTGATTATATTCATTTTTAAGCAACCAAGTACATTGCCTTAGTCGACTTAACAAAAAAATGGAGAATGGTTTTGCAAAATCAACATTTTTTTGTACCCTTTCAGACGGGAGGGAAGGGGTACCTGAAAAAGAGTAGTACTGTTTGTACACTTGTGCAAATGTTAATAATTGTGAATGACCCCTTAGCTTTGTGAAAAGAAAAACAAATATTTTAATGCTGTCAATTTTTTTTTAATTGATACTTTTTTTTTGCTTTTGTATGCAAAATGAAATACAAAATTAAACCATTCTTTACTAAATTAAATAATTAATTCAGAACCATTAAACAATGAAACAGATAGCAAATGATAAAAATGGATCAGTCAGTATAAAGCAGTCAAATAATGAGAGTAGTATGAATATTGTATAGAAAAAAAAGAATTAATTTAGATCAACCAAAACATGAGAAAATGAGATAAACTAAAAATCAAGCAAAATACAGCCTTAAAATACCTAACAATATTAATAAGTTACTATCAGGTTGGGCATTGTGGTTGACATAACTATAATATAGTACTTTGCTATATAAGTCTATAGTTACCATAAAAGACCTTGACCTTTTATACCCTTATTTCCTGTTACCCAAAATATAGATTAAGAATGCATTTTTTAAATACACAACAAAATAGTAGTCACATTAACATAACTGGAGATTCAATAATCTTTGTGTATTTATGCTGGTTGTTAAACACTGCAATCTGAATGAGCCAGGCCTTGCTATGGTCTACTGAGCACTAGAGACTAACACACTTCACTGAGTCTTGGCTCATTATCTTCGCAAAATACACATTTACAGAGCATTCAGCGATCAACATGTTCCTTGTTGTGTCAGTGATCATCTTTAATTTTAGTATTGCTTGTGAATAATATATAAGTTGAAATCAAAGGTAGGGTAATGTATTTAATTCAAGGGGGTAATTACATAATAGTTGGTTTGTGAAGATATTTTGACTGTGATTATCATGAGACTGTTCACTAATGTCTTGCGATATTTATTTCTAGACATATCGTCAGCATTGATCATTATATTATTACTGTAATTTCCCCATATGCTGTACAAAATGTTTTGCTGTTACTACTAGATAATACCTTAAATCCTATTGAAGATAAAAAAGATGTACTGTACATTTTAATGTGCCATATTGCTGTACCAATCGTGATGTATTTCCTTAGCCTGATATTCTGAAGTGCTTTGTTGGGCATGCCAGTGAATTGATTTTTTTAAGCTGGTATTTTCACTATCTAGTTAATAATTTGTAATGAGATTCCAGAATCTTCCATACTTTTTGTCTTGGACTAATTCATAATACACCAGTGTTCTCCCGAAGCCGTTTTACCTGTCAATTTTACCAGTAAAAATAACTGACCAACCAGTAAAAATTGTGTGTTGGTAGAATAAAAAAGTACATTATTAGGCCTAGGTTGACTAGGCTGCCCTTCTTTCAATAAGCAAACATCATTCCTTTCCAGGCCTAAGCTATGATTACGTATTATTGTTTTTTGAAGCCATTTAAATCCACTTAAAATTGGTAATATCTGAAGTTGTGTGCGCTTAGCTGGCTCTATATGGACAAATTTACCAGAAAAAATTTTTTAATTGGGAGAACACTGTACACCACATTAAAACTGATTATTTGTTTTTATATACTGTACACTGTAGTTGTTCTTTAGTGCTGATTTGTTTCTGTTGCTATTGGCAGTTTTAATGTTATCTGCATATTATTATTATCATTGTGTAAATTATTGTACTGATATTTTTAGTGTTTGGTTACAATTAGTTTAATTACTTCATCCATACCTGGCTATCCTGTATTCTTTATTATTATTATTTATCATTAGTGTACCCTTAATAAATGATTTAACAATGGTAATAGAACTAATGATGATAATTTGTTATTTTAACAATTGCCTTGCCCGGTGGGGGTCCAGGGGGCAAAGCCTCCTGGAAGCCACGGATATTTGATGAATTATGGCAAATTTTTATTATTGTTATTGTGGTTGTTATGTTAAGAAAAAAGTTGTTATGAAAAGTTAACACAAACGATATGGTGGCTAAACAAATATTACATGTAAATATTTTTTTATTTGTTTGCTCCCTGACAAAATTTATCGTCTTCCCGACGGGGGGCTATAGCCCCCCAGCCCCCTCTGGCGCCACCCCTGCTCATCACATGCACACATTTTATCTTTCAAATGCGGTGTCAGCAGGTATAAACATTTTTCAAATTTGACAAAGAAACTGTAAAGATTTTTTTTTTCCCAACACTGGCCAGGAGGATGTTAAAAGAATTGGCTATATGACAGCGACTGTACAAGTATTTATGAATATGATGATGTTAGGACCCTGATTCTCCACTTCTCTGGACAGGGGTGCATTTTATAACCGCTCACAATATTGCGATCCCGGGGAAGACACATAATTCAATTTCTGTACATTGTTCAGTATACTGTATCATTATATAAATATGTAAAATTCATTTTTTAATTGAAAATATGGATTGTTACAGTGAGAGACGTGTGTGTTGAAAGCACCATGATCACTAAATGATGGAAAATACCAGTGGTATTATACTGTAATGTAGAAATCTGCAGAATTATTATTAGTATCCCTGGTCATGGGAGGGCCTGGCAGTGGTGAGCACTTTGTGAAAGGAGCGAGGAACCAAGGCTGGGTGCTGAAGTCCCGGTATGGTCCAGGGAGGCTACAGTACTTTAATGAAATTTTTTTCTGACAAAAATTGCCAACCACAAGATAAACCAGTCAAATTGTGATCCATGCCTCACCAAGTAATGTATTCTAAAAATTATGCTTATATTTCTTGAAAGAACACTATAAAGAAATATAAGCATAATTTTTAGAATACATTAAAATCAGATTTAACTTTATTTTGTATTTATTTATTAAAGGCCTGCCTGGTCCACCTTGTGCTGCAACTGCCAGTGGATGCACTAATCTTTGTAATGCACAATGTCCAACCTTCTCCAACCAAACCAATTTCATTCCAAGTCATTGACTAGAGGAACTGTGACTCTACTTAAATGCTCAAAACTTAAAGATGTACTGTACTGTACTGTACTGTACTGTACTGTACTGTACTGTACTGTACTGTACTGTCGCTTGAAAATGGCCAAAATCATAAAAAATAATTTTTAAATTAACTTGCTCATTTTGCAGTAACATACAAATTATTAACTTGAGCATAGAAATTATTTAAATTAAAAAAAAAAAAAATGTGTTCCCTGATTTTTTAACTGGATAATTGTAATAAAGATAACAAAACACTTCCAGTGACTGGAAGTGTTTCTATTATTTTTTCGCTGTAAAATGATGGTTTTTATGGGTAAGCATCTTTTAGATTCACTAATTTTTATGTTCAAATTTTTATGTTACTTCAAAATGGGCAAGTAAATTTCAAAAATGATTTTTATGATTTTTTTTTGCAGGGGCAGTACATCTTTAACGTTATGGAACATGCTTCATAGTTTTTACAACATTCTTGCTCATACAAAAATAATTTAATATTAATCACCATTATTAACATCAATATTGGGAATAAGAATATATGAAATTTATTTAATTGGACAATAATTCTCAGTATCAGAATTAATGAAGGTTTCTTTTATTTCTTTCTCAGCTCCGGAAACAAAAGTTGTGTCATACTCGGAGCGCCTCCTTACCAGGAGGGGCCCCATTCTACAAGACCATGCCCATTATGCAACGTAAACCATCTTGTAGTGAAATGACTCCTCCACACTTCACCTCTCCTAAAACTGAGAGTATTCTAACCACTTCAGGTGAACATGCCTTACCATCCCCACCCAGTGCTGACTCACTTGGTGAGAGGAGAACTTCTGCAAAGGATGCCCTTACATTTGTTTTACAAGGTAGCAGTTCTCGGAATAACGACAAAATGACACAGATTACACACGTTGCTACTGACCCTTTGTTGAATCAGAGTTTCTTGCCTGGGGAGTTAGATGGACGTTTAGAACAATCCCCACTCATGAATGACAATGACAAAAAAAGCGACGGTCGGACAAAGAAAAAGGGAATATGTGATTGTAAAACAAATGCTGCAATTGATTCGGAATGGAGAAGCGAGATGGAGGCAGCTCTTGTTCACGGTGGCGGTAAGGCATACTGCCGTCTTTGTGGAAAAAAACTGAAGTTGAGAAATGATACTAATTTAGTTAGAAGGAACTCATCTCGGAGCAGTCTCCTCAGTTCGTCGTCTACTTTACCACCTCAAAATAATCAGCTCTTTGGTGACGATGATGATGTAAAACCACAAATGGTGGCTCATAAGAAGAAGAGGCGAACCTTGCAGAAAATGAATAGTGTGTCGTCTACCAACCTGGATGTTATGGGGGAGGATGAATTAGATGGCAGTGTTTTTTCATTACCTAGCAGTGTAGAACATAGGACTGAGAGTTTACTTGAAGAAGGTAAGAACAATCTTTATACTGTAGCTAAGAGAATGAATTATTTTACAAATTTCTTAAACAGTTAATATAGTAGGTTGTACAAGTTGAGCGAGACAAATGGCCAAGCGGTCAAGGCAGGGGCACCGTGATCATAGTCAACAATATCGCCACAGGTTCGCGGCTGGCTCGCTCCTATAGTTCTGGTGGTGGAACAAGTATTCTCGGATAAGGCCTAGTGTATACAAATGCTCATGTGCGAGATGAGTAGGGGGTTACCCCATTGTACTGGTTCAATCGGCCCCTGTCGTGGACAGATGAAAGTGCGCCGGTTTACTGGCTGTAGAGGACATGAAGTGACCCTCAGGGGAGGAGAAAGTTATTGAAAAGTGCAACATCTAGTCCCGAGTACATAGAGACCTAATATTATCTGTGCTTATTATTATTATTATAGAATTTAAAAAAAAAAAATTCTGTCATGAATACTTGTTGCTTGTATAGCACTTTTCCTTGTCATTTTTCCTGGTCATTGGGTCGGCATACTTACTGTAAGTGTTTCTGTCATATTGGCGCAGTAGCAGGCAACCCCACCAGGTACCCATTTTCTCCTGGGTGGAGAGTAAGCAACGCAGATAAAGTGCCTTGCTCAAGGACAAGTGAAATGCACAGCCTGGGATTGAAACCCCAACCTCGAAGTTGGGAACCAAACCGTTCCTGCCGTGTCAAACCACCTCCACGAATATCAACATTTACTATATGTAAACCCCACCACGTACCCACCTATGGAGAGAAGCAATGCAGATAAAGTGCCTTGCTCAAGGACACAAGCGAAATGCAAGGCATGGGATTGAAAACCCAACCGCGAAACCAAACAGTTTCTGCTGTGTCAAACTGCTTCAACATTTACTATTTTTTAAAGAGACATAGATTAGAACACTTAATTACTGTACACACATTTTTACCTCAGAAATCACTACAATAAAAACCAGCCAAAAGTTATCCAGAAAATATAGAAACTTGTATTGTAGTGAATTGGTAGTTGGCTAGAATTTTAACACTGCCCTCTACATCTTATTATTCTTAATGCATGTACTTCAGTACAGTTACGTAGTATGTATTAATTGTACTCTAGTTCTGACTGCATTGTTTTATTTACTGTATGATAATCTCCTAGGAACATCTTGACTGATGAGAATCCCCTAAAGAGCGCCCTCAAAGTATAGTTTTCTCTGTAATGAACTATTGTTGAGACAACCCTCAATATCCTCCGTGATGAAACTGATAGCAGGAAATTCAGTGACAAATTTTCAATAGAGTGCTGATGATGTCGTGCTACATTGTGATTACTATATTAAAGGACCAATACTATTACAAGAGAGGTACCCTAAATATAAACGGTTTTTGCATCAAAAGTTCAATTCAGTTTGAAATTGAGACCAGATGATTGTTTTCTATCAGATGCTACTTGTGTTGTTGAAGGAAATTTACTTTCGTCTACTTTATCTTTGATTGGTTTTAGTAAAATCTAACGGTAAAGAATCTGAGAGAAAGTTTCTAACACTCTTTTTGAATGATTTCGGGATTTCATCCAATTTTCAATACAGTACTGTAATTCTGAATAGCAATTATCTTGAAGTGGTACTGTATCATTGGATTTACAGGCAAATTAAAACACATGTTGCCAAAAAGGATATAATCCAAGCGATGTCAGTTTATGTAAAACTACAGATCATCCAGAAATTGCAACTGATTTTAGTGAATCTTCAGTAATTGTATCATTTCAATATTTTACTCTGAGTAATCACCTATCCGGGACAGTATAGTTTCAGTGCAATTTTTGTGTGGATGTCATAAATTTATATCAGAAAATTGGAGGCACCTATGGAAGAATTGAACTGTATTTCACACGTATTTAAATTTCACAAGATCAAGCGTATCAACTGCCAGTGTAGTGTACGCAAGGAAAAGAAGCGGTTTCGACAGTGCGTAGCCCTCCAGTGCTCCACATATGAAGGTGAAGACCACAGATCTGATCATTTTGACTGGGAATTCTAAAATTGTTAAATTTAGTTATTCTATTTTCAATTAAAATAAAATAATGTATTTTTATGCGATTTTACTGTAAAAATAATGTCTTATATCAGGGGAGATTAATTTTTGGTCAAGGTGATTGACTATCATCGGGATGGAGGAGGGGTAGGGGGTGCTTTGAAATCAGGATGGTGGAAGTGGCTGAAGGATTTATTAACTTTAATTTGATTCTTGTTTTTATAGTACCTCATCTCGTACGTGCTTGTTTGCAAGTTCGCATTTTTTTTTTCTTCAAATAAATGATTCAAAAAAGTCTTTACTTCCTTGATGCCTTTCCATTTTACCTGTTAACAATACTTGTTTTATCAAAGGCTATTTATCAGGCTCCTTTTATTTTTTTCTGGAGGTAGTGTGATTTTGTGAATCATCTCTTCAATATTTAGTATAATGTAAAACCAGTAGGTCCACAGAGGCGTGAACAAGAACAAACTTTATCTTTATCTTTAATTAGATCTTAATCATTGATCTATAAATTTAAGGTTGAACTTACAATGGCATGTTTTAAAAGTTAGAAACTTTTATTTTAGAATCTCCCTAGTGACTTTTGGAATGAACTCTCTGAACTTAAGATCTCTATACAGTATAACATACAGTACTGTAATTAGTGTAGAAATGGCTCAGATGAGGAACTCTGGGAAACACTCTGCTGATTGATAAATTTGATTGATTATCTTTTTTGTATGGGCGGCCGTTAGATACAAGATACTCCACTGCCTCTACTATACTGCCCTCATCGGAGCTTTTGAGATTACGATAAATTGTTTAAAGTAGTGTAGTTAAATTTGTTGATAAGTGCATAACTAGTGGCAGTGAAAGGTGTGGGGGAAAAGTTGGAAATGCCAAGTTTCCTGTTGATCATAACTTTTATGAAATAAAAAGGAAGAAAAACTTAAAAATGTCCTAGTTATCTAAATAAAAAGCAGAGCAATCATTAGAGTATTGTATTATTTACCAGCAGTTTTAGAACAATTGACATTCAATTTGTATGACTCATAATTGATGGTGTAATCTAATCTATTAAATAAACTTTTAAGGTGGTTAATAGGAAGTCTTTGTATCTTTGATAACATTCCGAGGCCCTTAGGATGTTTGAAGGCAAGCATAGTTTCATCGTGTGTACTCTAACATTCCCTATTTGCTAATAATAACATAAATATATATTTGTGTAATTTTGGGATGGTTTTTCAAGAGAAATATTTCATAGGCATACTCACTTTCTCTAAAACAAACAATTTTATTTGCCCTCAGTAATTTTTTATCTGTAGAGTAGGAAGTGCTGTGTTACAAACAATTTAGAAATCAAATCGTGATTTGGTATTAAATTTGTGATCTAGTTCATGCCCTGTCGATTATTAGATTAAAGTTAGTATAAATTGTTGTTATTATCTGATTAGACCGTGTATTTGAATGCTAATTAGCTTTAACTTTATAAATTAATACTAATGATTTTTTAGAAACAAGGTGCTACTAGTATAATTTTTTTTTTTACTAGTAAATTCTTTTATTGTTGACATCAAAGATAATCTTTTGGTTTGTTCTTAGGTTATATACCATATGTTCATAACTGTAATTTTTAGAAGCAGTGTTGAAACATTCAGAGGAAGATGGCCATTTTAAATGGAGCATATTTTAGATTAATTGATGTAATATATTTTGTATTTAATCTCTTATCATTAATTTAACAATTTTGAATTTGAAAGAAAATCAATACACTTGGATTAGTACTCATCTCATTAGAACATCAACGTTGTCACCGCTGCTGCTGTTGTCGTCGCCGTTGCCACTGCCGATGTCGGTAATAGACCATACCGTCAATTTCTACCATTCCTTCGCCCACCAACAAAAACAGAAAATCACCCCAAAATTTTTACCTCTTGATGATTGTAAAAATAGTACAATCACAAATAACGTAGTGATTTTAGCCTTCTGTGCGCTGCTCTCATCAACAAGACACATGATTGTCAAGATTTTTTTTTTGTGCAATATCTTGCCATAGGAACGGGATCTGTGGCACCAATATCTTTTATCAGTTGCCAATGGATAGCACTTAAGTCATATATGTATTTAATTGTTGAGTAAATTGGCATTTAATTCCATATTACTATTAATTTATATACTTTTGACTCATCCTATCTTCTGCTACTAGGTTCATTCAGTGTATCTCCTGTTACGGACTGCTACTTCCCACGCCCAGTTGAAGGCCAGTCACTGCTCAGTTTCTTGTCTTCAAAAGATTTCAAAAAGTGTCCTGAATTAGACAGGGTGAGTTTGCAATTAGAACTGCTTCAAAAGCATATTGTACAGTACTGTAGCACCGCTCATTTTTTTTAAACGTAACTTTGAATTAAAGATGTCATAGTAAAAGCTCGAAAACTATCAAACAAATTGTCACTTAAAGAGATCAAATGAAGTTAGCAACTTTCAAAAGATACCTGTATAGCAAAACAATTAATTTTTTTTACAGACTTCTCCTATGAAAATTCTTACATTACACAATTTAAAAGCATGGAAAAAGGAATTGTATTCATTATTTATACATCTTTTAATTGGTAAAGAAATTCTATTGTTAGATTATTTTTAATTGAAAGCTAGATATTATTTAAATTTAGCAAGTCAGGTACATCTTAAACATACATTTCAACTGAAGGAATTGTGTGTTGGGGGTGGGGGAAGTGTATAGTATTAAAATGCTATTGATATACAGTATTTTATTTATTATTAATTATAATTGTCAAAAGTAGAATTAAACATGATAAAACTCTATTCTGTTTTCGCAGAATTTGAAATTTCTCATGGCTAAAAAGTAACTCCACTTTCAAATGCCTTGTAATGAGTTTATAAAGCATCTCATTATTTCATTTACATAGGAGGGCCCCTGATTATCAGCTGACCTTTAGAATAAGAAAAAAAATCTGCGTTGTGGATTTAAAAGTCAATATACTTATGGCATAAAGGTATTATTGAGGAGGAGATCACTCGGCAACAGATCCCTTTGACGTGACAAACCAATGTTTGGATCCCTCATGGGTGTTTTATCTTATTATTAATATTTTTTTGTTAGCAACAACTTGGCAACAACATGCTTTTATACGCTTCAACATGGCAGTTGATCGATAAAACATTTGATTTTAACTCATTACAGTAAATATCTTTAAAATTAACAATTTTCCCCTAATTTATTTTTTTCAGACTTTTAGCATGTTATTATGTGTGTATTTCAGTTCACACACTCATTCACACAAAAATGACTTAGTTTATTAAAATTATCAATCATTCCTTAATTAATATCTGTTAATTAATATCGAGTTTTATCCAATTTATGGAAATTTAAGTTGAAATATACCGTACTTTTAAAGCTCATGTAAATGTTTCATTAAATTCAAAACTCTCTTTTTTACAAATATTAATATGTTTGGTATTTCATGAAAGATAAATATATTAGCTTCAAAGTGGAAATGATTGCGCAGGCATAGTGTTCGACTGTAAGTAGTGCTCACTGAGAAAAGAAGCTCTCCGTTTCGCCATGTTAAATTTTTTTTTGGTAAAACTAAACCTGCTGAGCATTTGGTAGCGGGGAACACATTAGACTTCAAAGGCATTGCGCAAACTTTCTTCACTCGCTGTGGCAGCTTTGTTGTTGGCTCATTTGCATAGCACTGCGTGCGCACAGCTTGTTCGAGTGATCTGCTTCTCAATAATATAGTATAAATATAGTATAAAATGTTGTAATTTGTTGTATGACTTTGGGTTTCCAGTGACTGTGCGTTTAAGTTTGATGCACATCACTTTGTTTTTTTTTATGGTGTGGTACTAGGTACAATAGGATCTAAATGATGTAAAACTTACATCAAAATAGGATCAAAATTATTTGCAAAGAAATTGGTCTGCTGCTTAATTGGCTACATGACTACGAATAATCCGTAGGGAATTGAGGATGTGGCACATTGGCTATGATTGATTCATCTCCAGAGTAACATAAGCACATGTGTCTTTGGTATCACTTTTGTTTAGTTTGGTATTAGGTACATTAAAAATGTATAAAACAGCAGTTAGTGGATGAAAGTGTTTACTCACTGTTCAGGAACACAACGCTAACAAAAACAGAAAACTGCCTAATCATATTTAATCAGAGGATTTTAACAATTTACAATAACATTCTAAATAGAAATAAAATTTAGTTTCAGACATAAAACTGCTTGTAAACACTTTAAAGTTTAAAGAAAAAGTAAAATAAAGTTCAGAATTCTATTAACGAAAGTTCTATGGTTTAATGTTTGTTGATCAACTCACTGGCTATTTGGCTTTGAGCTGGAATGGTCATTCATTTCTAAATAAGATGGAAATAAATAAATAAATTCTCAAAAAAAGGAAAAAAATTGACTAAAAAGTTTACTAAAACAGTGACTTTTTAGGCAGTGTCTCTGACAGTGTAATTACCTCTAGCATTCTGTCGTTACATGAATGTTTATAAATTTAAAATATATTTTTTTAAATTTGTATGTCTTATTTTGCTGCAAGAAAAATTAATTAAAAATCTTTCATATCTTTTTGAATGCCCTGGAACATGTTTCTTGCATCTTGTTTGTTTGATAATATATTGTGTAAAATTAAAATGTCTTTGCAGGAAAATGCTCATTTCTGTATATCAGAGGCTATTATTGCTGCAGTGGAGCAAATAAAGTGCAGATCATTAACAGGTAACGGCAGTGACCATGAGTCCGATGGATCTGATGAGGAGATTCAGGAACTAAAACAACGCATCCGAATAAGGCGCAAAGAACGTCATTCACAAAACGTGCGACCCAAGTATCTTCTTAGTGATGGTGAAAGCAAAACTGAAAGTTAGTTGTTAATGCCTTTTAGCTTTTGTCACAATATTCGTATACACACTAATCAATTGGTAATAATTTAATAATGCTTCCTAAATAAAGTTTTTTAATGTTCTACTTCAATGTATACTGTACGTGCCAAATGTTTTGATTTCAGTCTAATAATGATAAATTGCTTTGTTTGTTAATTTTCTAAGTATGATAACAATATCTATTATAAATTTTGTATGTTTAGTTGCTCTTTCATTTCAATATTTTAGTAAGTCTCTTTGAATTTGAAATTTTTTAATACCTTGATGCAAGTGAACAGATTTTGAATGATGAAAAATGAAGATTAAAATTTTTTATATTAATGATAATATTTTAAATATTTTTTTCTTTCCATTTTACTGTTTTGCAAATGTAAAATTAAAAAAAAATTTTTTACAGCTACTACAACATCAAGTAGTGGAGAAAATTCTCCAGCAGAGAGCTTGGATGATTCAGGTATGTACTGTATATTTATTTTTTGTGATTTTCTTTCGTTAAACAGGTAAATAATATATTACACGCAATTTTTTAGACCCAACAGTGAACAATATTTCTCAAGCACTAAATTTGATGAGGATCATCACCACTGCCCATTCAGTGGATAAATGTGAGCTGTTGTGACAAAATGAGTCTTGTGCAAAAAAATGAAAATTGATTATTGATATACAGTATTTAGGTAGATGATTATAAGCTTTACTTTGTTCTTTGAATCAGGTTCCTAGCATGAGTACAACTGAAGTAAAATCATTTTCAAATTCAGAATGTCTGAAAACGTACTTTAGAGAAAATTGTGTCTGAATATAAACCACTGATAAATTTTGTGTTGTTTTTCCTATCAATTCTGAAAAGGAGCTTTACAAAATCTGCCTTAAAACACTTGAATATATCAAACTAGTGTACATCAGACTCATTTTTTCACGACACCTCTCAAAATTTTCTTTGTGGTCTTCTGCTGATCTAACATGACACGACTTGCTTGACAGTGCAAGTTGTGAAAAACTAGAAGTCTTGAAATGGGGGTGCTGATGGGGGCGCCAAAATGAAGTGGGGGGGGGGGCACACGGCGCTCGATGATCAGTTGATCGGGCGCTAATTCGTAAAAATAAGGTGATTTTAGGTGATTTTTAACTACTTGACCGTGATTTCTGTGGGGGGGGGGTGTGACTGGGAGAGGGGCACATGAGTAATTTTTGGGGGGCATGCACCCCCGCGCATCCCTAGATACGCCACTGTTGCTTGATTAGTTTTGTCTGAAACAAGCTTACAAGTCTGAAGACACATTCTTTTGTCTGACAGACTAAAGATCTGTCTACACTACAAGGTTTATAAAAGTGTAACTTTGGTTTGGCCATGTGTGGTATGTCGTAACCACTTCCATAAAGGTGTAAGATGTCATAATGCCCTTATGTGGGTTTGGTATGACATCATAATGCTTATATTAGATGTATTCATTGTAACCAGATTAAATACCATAACCACAAATTGATAGTAATTTGCATGCAGTTGGATTCGTATTGATCTGCTTTTTTTAACTGTATGATATACAATACTTCCTATGACTTGAGGAAAATGAGTTATCTGGCACCATATAATAATTATGTATGACAACAGGCAAAAGTGTGTGGATAGAATTCTCTGTTTATATTTGGAACAATGTGATGTCCACTGGCACCTCACAGTGATAGTGCATTACAATATGTAAATAAAAATGAATGAGTTCTACAAAATGTAATGGGTTCTACAAAATGTAATGGGTTCTACAAAAATGTAATGGGTTCTACAAAAATGAATGGGTTGTACAAACGTTTAAAGGGTTCTACAAAAATGTAATGGGTTGTACAAAAATTTAAAGGGTTCTACAAAAATGTAATGGGTTTTACAAAAATGTAAAGGGATCTACAAAAATGAATGGGTTCTACAAAAATGTAATGGGTTCTACAAAAATGAATGGGTTCTACAAAAATGTAATGCGTTCTACAAAAATGTAAAGGGTTCTGCAAAAATGTAATGCGTTCTACAAAAATGAATGGGTTCTACAAAAATATAATGCTTTCTACAAAAATGTAATGGGTTTTACAAATATGTAATGCTTTCTACAAAAATGTAATGGGTTTTACAAAAATGTAATGCGTTCTACTAATATGTAATGGGTTCTACAAAAATGAATGTGTTCTACAGAAATGTAATGAGTTCTACAAAAATGTAATGGGTTCTACAGAAAAGAATGGGTTCTACAGAAATGTAATGCATTCTACAAAAATGTAATGGGTTCTACAGAAATGAATGGGTTCTACAAATATGTAATGCGTTCTACAAAATGTAATGCATTCTACAAAATTGTAATGGGTTCTACAATAATGAATGTGCTTTACAGAAATGTAATGCGTTCTACAAAAATGTAATGGGTTCTACAAAAATGTAATGCATTCTAAAAAAATGTAATGGGTTATACACTTGTAATGTTTTTGCTCCTTTGATTAATTTTAATAATTTAGGTAGCAATATCTACAAATTATTATTTGGTTACATGTATATTTTAATTATTAACTGTGACTTATGTATATTTGTATTTTTAACCATTAAAAGTGATGAATGAGTAGCTACTGTAGATTGAGATGGTGCACTAGCTGGTTTGTGAATGCCAATTTATTGAACTCTATTTGCAACAACATAAAGTTTAAAGGATAAAAAAAAAATAAAAAAAATATAAATGTATTCACTTTTATATTATTTATTATTTTAGAACATTTTGAAAGTAGCTGTGCCTCATCAGAAGATGAACTGACTGACAAAAGTAGCAATATGGTATCCATGGCAACAACTGGACTGTCAGGATCGATGGCATCTCTGTACTCGGGTATGAATCAATTGGTATTCATAATTTATGTGTCATAGTCAGGTTTAGGTGATCGCTGCTACAGCGCATCACCTATTGTTCTTAAGATTTTTAAAATTTATTTATTAATTTATTTACTTTTCCTTTTTTATTCTTTCTCCCATTTTTTTGTTCGGGGCTATTCTAAAAAATGGCACAGGTTCTATCCTTGTTATTTGGCTAGCAGATAAATCTACATCTGAAGTTTTGCAGGTGACTTTATGTGTGACGTCACAGTTGCGTGACGTCATATACGTGCCATTTTTTGAAATGTTATGATTGATCATAAATTCCTTACCAAGAGGCATTTTTCAATGAAACTTGACACAAGTATACTTTAAATGGAGGGTCAACTTTTTGTACTCATCAACGTCTGCACGCACGTCATAGCGTGCCCATACACGTGCGTTAAAATTCCAAAATGCTCAAAATCACTTTTTGACTAAATTAGAGCATGTTTCAGGCCATTTTGAGCATTTTGTTCCGTGTGAGCATTTTCACGCGCATAATACATATGGAAGCTATGAATTATGTTTTTTTTATATATTTGGACACTGTATTCACAAATTTCCATTCTTTTTCAGTCATTTTAGGGCCAATAACAATCCCATATATGTGTATTGAACATACAAATCCGTGGTATTAAAATAAGGATCAGAAATATTTATACTGTATTATGAAAGTGATAACAATGTAGTTCCTGTCTAATTGTGAAATATAGAAATCACCTCAAAAATTTACTAAACCCATTGAATAAATCATTTGAATGTATCAGTTTTTTTTTTTTATTGATTTAATTTATAGAAAATCCTTCTGCCTTATTACCAACCAATTTAAGAATCTATTAAAATATTAGGTTATGCATGCATCTGTTAACACTGTGGCTTCCTAAACTATATATTTTTTGTTGCCCATTTACCAAAACATGTTTACACAGACATAAACCATCATAATTACATGTCTGATGAAGTGGCTGGAAAATACTTTGGGATGAGAAAATTTCCATGACAGGTACACGAGTTTCCTCTTTCGACTGTTTTCGCAAATTTCAAAATATGGAAGTTTCTTCCAGAACAGCAAACCACACTTTTTATTGCAGTTATAAAGTTTAATTCCTATTTATAACCTTTGAGATTATTGAATATGGAGAGCGCCACCACATGGCATCTTTTTCACATTACCTGTAATAAACAACAAACATATGATGTTTTGTATTAGATTATTACATTCACAAATCATTCCTGCTAAAACTTTGTGGACTGGCCAGCCAGTTCACATAATTACAAATGTGCTTTGTTTTCTGCATGCGTGTTGTCATGCAATTTTAGCATAATTGTTACGTGATCTAATTTTTAAATGTACCAAGTTTAGAAATAATGTACCAAGGTTTTGATTCAAATGTTAAATATACCAGTATATTTATTATTTTAGCTCAATATAGGGAGTGTATACAGCATTTATTTGAGATTATGTTTATTTAATTGATACACTAGCTTTGACCCAACATCCAAAATGTCAGTGAGCTATTTTATTTGGGCATAAAATTGCTGTCTAAATTCCTCATTATTATTAATATATCATGTTAATAATTGTGAATTATGTATTATATCTCATTTCTTTTATTTTTTGAAGGTTGTTAAGACAGGAATAAGGAAATTGAATTATCCTTCACAAATATATCTTGATGATAAAGACTGGTGACCTTTAGTTCATGTCTTATTTACATATTCAATTGTTTGTTTCACTTGCTTATATTCCAGATGCTGATGTACGTAGGGGTGTCGTAGCTGCAACGCGGTTAGTGCCTGCTGTTCCGTCCGTAACGGCAGAAGCTGTCGCCCTCTCTCTGCTTCAAAAGTTTTCTGAGAAGCATCTTCCTGCCGCTTCAGACCTTGCATGGATGGTGACGGAGCACGATGCCCCACAAGCAGTATGTCCACTTCGCACTATGTACAGTAGTATTGATAAGATGATAATGATTATGATGCCTGTCAAAATGTGAACATCCGGAAAATCCATCTTTGTGATTGAATTTGTAAACATACAACTATCTCAAGAATATTTTTGTGCATGTTTCTATTCAGACAATAATGGTGTACCCTCAGTGTTGTGCTAATAATCCTTAGAACTGCTTCCTTTATATATTTAAGTAATTTTCAATTGAAAATTTGGAATGAGAAAATATTTTCTCTGCAGTTAAGATACAACAGTAATACTGTTGCTATATTTGTGTGTAAGGCTTTTGATTTTTAATATTAACAGTAAAAATATAAGCAGGAAATTGATAGGTAATCATTTTTTAAAGAACAATTCAACCTTTTTTTTCTTTTTTACATATTTTAACACAGAGAGTGTATAGTTAAACTGAATTACAGTAGAACCTCTCCTTTGTAACACAACAAAAGGAGACGCTTTTCCAGCCACAAAGCGAGGGAAAGTATGTATTTTAACACTAAGGCCAACACCTGTTTAGGGCAAATTTTTGAAAGGGGTTCTACTGTAGTTGTTTGATACATTTCTTTATCACTCACATTTTGGTTCTGATTATTGTGATGTTTTTTTTATTTCTTTATGTTGCAGCTTCTTCCACTCCCCAAATCTGTGCCAATATCCCCCGACCAGGCTGACAATATCAACACCTCATCCCTTACTGGTAAAAATGTAAGAACATTAAACATTTTATACAATAATATTGCTTTATTTCTTTTTGATTGTTAATTGTCTTCAATAATTATCATACTGTTATTTTCTTTTACTTAACTCATCTTTACAAGTTGCAATCATTACATTATCAATTAATATCATCATCATTGTCAATTAATCATCATCATCTTCATCATCATTATCATTATCATCATATCATCTTTATCATCATAACATATCTTCATTGACATCATCACCATCATCACAATAATTAATTTTTTTCTGTCTTACAAATGATAGGCTTCTACAATTTGAGCAGTTTTTGTCTAAATTATACTCACTTAATTTCTTTCTTTAGTTACAATATCTTTAAATATTTTAAGAATGATAATGATGATCAATTTGTAAGACCTATAATGTATTGTTTATGTCTGATGTCAGGGCCTCTACCTGTAAATGTATTGTTTATGTCTGATGTCAGGGCCTCTTCATGTTAGTATGCTACTTCTGTTATGCTTTTATGGAAATACCAAGCTTTGACTCAAAGGATAGAGTACAGTACTACATAAAATACCCCTTGCACCCCCTCTCCCACACACACCCTCACCACACATACCCACCCCTCCCTAAAATCCCCCACCACACCACACATCCCATACGCCTATATATGGACTAAAGCATAATCGATACAGTCATGCATTAGAAACACTTTTTATGTTTTATATATTTGTATGACACTTCTCTCTTAATATTTGTTAAGGTAATTATTTCTTATGTTTTACTACGTTTTTACAGACACGTATACGAGGCAACTTAGATTGGGCGCCACCTAGGGCTCAGATAGTATTTAATGTACATCAGACTCAAAAGTAAGCTATCTTCAAAAACTGTCTTCGACTTTTTATAGTGATACAGTACATGTAAGATAGGAAAGATGCGAACTCAAAGTGGTTCATTTGTTGTTTCTGAGTTTCCTAAGTGCTTGACATGCCACTGAACTATTTTTGTAGTTTACACCCCTCCTCCCCTCCACATTTGAGTAGCAAGCTGTTATTTGTATTTTATGCAAATGAGTTGATTACAGCCATGTTACAATTTGAGAAGTTCCATTTGATAAATATGATTGCATAAATGGAGTGTGCTGTGAATCTTGTCAAGGAATCAACTTGATTACAGCCTTGTTACAATTTGAGAAGTTCCATTTGATAAATATGATTGCATAAATGGAGTGTGCTGTGAATCTTGTCAAGGAATCAACTTGAACTTAGATGTCAGCATAAGCAGTGTCAACTTGCATTTTACTTTAGATATTACATTGATTATAGGAACATCAGCCCTCACAGAGATTTTATATAGGTTAAGATGTAATATAATTATAAATATAAATTAGTATCCAATAATGGTATGATTTGTGTTCAGTGCTGTTATGAAATATTATAACATTAAATATTTGTATGCCATTTTGTATTTTTTTTATGTTAAAAAATTAAAAACGGCAGTGGCAAAACCCATATGTCACCTCCCCCCCCCCCCCCCCCCACACCCAACCTAAATTGTCCCCTGGTTTATCATCTCCACCTCATATCTTGAATGTTTATAATTTTTTTTTGTCTTCCATTAGGAGGAAAGTTGTGATGATGAAGCAGAACCAGCGTTGTGCAGGTTGTGGAATGAAAGTGGAAGTTGGTTACCAGAAACGATTACGTTACTGTCACTACCTCGGCAAATACTTCTGCCATTGTTGCCATAACAACTCAACCGCCGTCATTCCAGGCCGTATTCTTGAGAAGTGGGACTTCCGTAAATACAGCGTTTCAAATTTTGCATTGGAACTGTTGCGCAAGATGCATAATGATGCACTTTTTAATGTACATGACAGAAATGCTCAGTTATATCGAAGAATAAATGCTTTAGAACAGTCTAGGGTGAGTATAATGTACTTAATATTAATAGTGTAGTTTTATATAGCACACAAACCCATCTAATGTAAGATGCTCAGGGCGCTTGAAATGTGGACTTGTGTATTGTACAACTTTCTGCATCTTTCTGCATCTCCCTGAGTGCAAATATGCTCAGATATATATATATTGTTCTCCTATCTGAGGTTGGGGCTCTGCCACTGTCTGTTTGATAATGTGTAATCAAGCCAAGCAAAAACTCTTCTCTTCAGTTTTCCTTCAGTCTCTCAAACAATGTGTCTTATTGGAATTATGTAGTCCTCTTTGAATGAGCTATTTAATATTTATCCTGATTTCATAATCAACCTTCATTTGCAATAAATTCAATAAACATCATACTTCACATTATTGCCAAAATGTTAGTTGATCTACAGTATTATGAATATTGCTTAATATGATGTTTATTTGGTTTTTTTAGGAATTACGGTTACAACTTTACCACTTAAAGGATTTCATAAAAACTTGTCGGATTGGTCAGAGGTATGTAAATGCATGAAGGATTTTTTATACTATTGCAAATTTTGGTTGTACCAAAATCTGTGTAAAAGAAATAAGAGTTATAGGATGTAAAAACTGCCTGACATTAACAACATTAAAAACAAAATCAACAGCATCATCAGCAGAAGCAACAACATCAACAGCAGTAGCAACAGCAGCAGCATCAACAACAACAACAACACCAATTAAAGACAATGTGTAGGCATAACAACCTTACAACTTTATGTACAGTACACGCATTCAATTAAGCTTTTGTCCATGTGTTATTAATTTTCCCATGAACCTTTTTTCCCCCCCAGTCTCTTACCTACACTTGAGCAGTACCCCAAGCACCTTTATACTGACATTCACATCTTCTCCATACATGATCTGCTAAAGGTGAAAAGTGGAGAGTTAGTAGAAGAGTTGAAAGTCTTGGTAGAAGACATCAAGAATCATGTTAAACAATGTCAAGTAAGCAGACATATCTTATTATTTCCATTTTACAGAGTTAAACATTGCTTGTTATATAATTTTTTCCAAAGGCTTTCACTATGTTGGTTTGTTGATTGGCACCATTGGTTTATCATAAACAAATAAATATTATAATAATGAATGCAAGGGTCACCCAGAACCCTTTAGAGGGGTCCAGTTGGTGAAGTTCCTGGAAGCCTCAACGATTTTGAGAATTGAAGTTCCCGTTGAGGGCCACCTTCATGTCTCATCTAATAAATTTTTTTTTTTTTTTTTTTGTAGCTTTGCCAAGCACGTGGGTTTATATGTGAGCTGTGCAATAAAGAAACTGATATTATATTTCCATTTGAACTCAGTAAAACTCACCAATGCCAAGGTTTGTGGAATTTTTCTTTTGCTTCAATTAAACTTTTCTGTCTGCATTTGTTGGCATGTAATTTTTAAAATGGATTAAACATCAAACATTTTCAAGTATTTAATTGCTAGTTTGAGAAGATAAAATAAGTTACTGTAGTGCTAGTAAAACACAAAGAAGCAATTCAGTTTTAACCAATTTAAACATTTAAATAGATTTTTAAGACTTAGACTTGTTTTTAATATAAACATTTCTTGTTTTTTCTGTTTTAAAATATTTGTGCTCGTTAGTAATTTAGTTTTATCACTCACTTAATCCATGATGGCAACTACGTAGAGCGAAATGCTAGGCCTCTGATAGTCCCCCAGTGGTAGTTGCCAGGTTATCCTAAATTTTAATTTCAAATTCGTGAAAATGGTCTATATTTTTTAGCATGTATTTCTCTAATTACCATTAAAATAAGTTGTATGTTGAATGTGTTTTGCTAATTGCAGGCATATATGAAATATCCTGTTTTACTTGAACTAACTAAAAGTTAATTCATTTTATTTTAGACTGCTGGGCATGTTATCATATATCATGTTTTCAAACAACAAAAGTTTGTAAGAAATGTGAGCGGATAAAAGCAAGGTAAAGCTATGCCTACTATTTTTTTTAATTGTTATTTGACTTGCTGTATAAGGTCAAACTCAAATTTAATATATTTTATATCAATATATTTAAATCCAGTTTGTGCTGTAACTGCTAAAATAAAGGAACAATTTTAGAAAAAAAAAAACATAATATACATGTTATATAATAATTTAGTGTTGTTATATTTTATTAATTTTGTGTGTACTGTATCAATAAATTTCAAAAAGTAGCAAATCTTTTTTACTAATCCACAGAAAATCAGGCCTAGCCTCAAGTTCCAGACAACCTCAAGAGCCAGCCAAAGTTACTGTTAGGTGACTGTAAATGGAAGTCAAATCTATGCAGTACTCAGTCAGGCACATGTAGAGAGCAGATGAAAATACTGACTTTGATATAAAGAGAGCAATATAAACACAACACAGTGATAAAAACACTGTGCAGTATGCAGGTTAAAATGAGCAATTTTACCTTGATTCCACTGTTACCAGTGGTGTTGATGTAGCTTGACTTAGAAGCCTTATGAAACCACTAAACCTAGTGTTCGTAGTACACATGCTCTTCATTTTATGAAGATTTTTAACTGGTAATTTATTGCTTAGCACACAACAGCAAGGGTCACTTCAGGTGTACTCTGTCCATGATGTTGTATTCAGATAGACACATTATTTTAGACACTTCTTTATTATATCTTAGGCATGCTGGCCAACATATGCTACTTCAACACTCCCACCTTTTATCTTATACATGCCAATTTCTATCTTAGATAAGCCATTTTGTAATTTAACAGTAATTGAAAGGTCGCTAATGTAGTTTAATTCTCGCAACACCCTGTAATAATTCCATTATGTGGTATTTGCGACATCAAAACCGGGCACTCACTGAGTACTATGGAGAATGCAGTGCCACAATGCGTGCACAACGGATCATTTTAACGACGATCTATTCAGGCTGTCACTGACAGGAGATGGCGTCTTGTTGCCTAGCGCCCACATTGAGTGAAGTTGGATCCCTCGGCCAACCGGCGTGCGACAAAGTGAGCGCCCATCTTACACATTACATATATTTTAATAATACTGTAATTGTATTTAGACAGTCTACGTGTCCTAAGATAGCCATATTGTATCTTGAAGATTGATACATTATATCTTAAATACACCCACATTATGCACACTGTACAGCCACATTGCATCTTTAGGTACTTACATCTTTAGACACACCTGCATTATTCTATATTATATTGCATCTAAATGTTATATTTTAGACCCACCCACTTTTAGCTTAAATTATCCGACAAATCCACATTACATCTTGATACACTGTATCTTAGGCTTGCCCACATTTTAGCCTATAATTACTATTTTGCGACAGCCAAGTACACACATACTTCATCTTTTAGGCATGCCTGCATTTGGCCTATATTTAGATACAGCCATTGTATTTTGACATGTACATATGCTATCCTACATAACCTAGCTCCCATTTAGGCATACATTTTGATACAGCTATTGAATCTTGACATGCACGTAATCTACTTAGACTCTCCCACTGTAGACTTATTTTGATACAGGTCCATATTTATCTTAAGCATGCTCTCATTTAGACCTTTATAATTAGGTACAGACATGCACATTATCTGTTGAGGACACACACACATACTCAGACCTATTTTGATATAACCATTACATTTTGGCAGGCCTATATTGAAGCTTAGACCATGGAGAAAATTACTTTACACATGCCATCATTGCATGTTAACATGCATGTAGTTTATCTTAGACACACCCACTTTTAGACTTAGGTATTTATATACACAAACACATTGCATCCTTATCATCTACCGAGTGCATCATAATCATTTAACTACTGCCAAGTCAGGTGCCAAAATCTTCAGCATATATGTTCAAAACAATTAAAATGTCCATGGACTAAAAACGCAGACATACACCTCCACGTTACAGTATCAATTTATCACAATGAGAGACAACTCAAAAAATAATTCAAACAAGCTTATTTTTGTATTAAACTTTACTTTTTACCAAATATATAAACTGAGTATATAGATTTTTTTTTTCAAAAATAATATAATATAATAATAATAATAATAATAATAATATTATTATAGTATGTTAAAGATTATGTTTATACAGTATACTGTATGAGGCTTGGCATTCCAAAACCAGCATACTGTTACTAAACTGAATAATTAGCCTGAGAATATGGCAGTATTGTATACTTCAGTACTGAGAAGCAGTAATACTTTTACTCATAACCTTAGCAATAGTTGGTCAATTCCAGTAAATGACCCACCATTTAAAAGCTTACCACAAACCATTAGCTTTAATTCTAGGGTTTATTGCCAAGAATTACTTATCCCATGCATTTTAGTTGATAAAATGTTAATTACAGGGCTAAGATCCATGGTTAATATATCAAATATCAAAGCTTGAAAATTGGGTTTTACAAGCATTTTGCAAATATGTTTGGCATCCTCAGTAATAAATTGAACCATAGACTTTTTAGGATTGTGAGTTAGGGCTTGGTCAACACAATTTTGTTTTTTATAATAGTTTATATTTTAATTTCTCATGGTGACTAATATCCAAAGAGTCTAATGTTTGTTTGAACATTTGTTTAAGATGACCTGAAATATTTATTATTTTCTATTTTCTTTCACATCTTGGAGTGCGCTTTTCATTTAGAGGATGGAACTATGACTTAAAAATAACCTGGGATTTGAAGCCAGGAATTTTATATAATTTTTGATTTTTGTGTTTATTTTCATTTTCAATTTTTTCATTAGATGTAAAGAAAACATAGGAAAAATATAAAGAAAAAATATAAAATTTTACAAAGAGTTAAAAGGTTGGTGAGGAACAAGAGCAAATTATATATAGTGAATTATATAATATTTTTAGCTATACAATTAAATCATATTTATATAAATAAAATATTTGAAAATGATTTCATTTTATGAAAAAAAAGCTAAGTTACAGCTTAACTACAGTAATTAGCATAATATAAATCATGTGAATTAAGGCTTGTTTACACTATGACAATAACGATCAACGATAAAAAGCTAAAAAGTAATTGTTCATATAGAAAATAAAGAGAAGTTTTCACACCAGCACGATTTGATAATGATTTATCATATATACAATAAAAAATATTTTCTCAAATCAAATGTCATGATCATGAAAAAATGATAAAATCGTAGTAGTAAAACGATTTCATCGTTTTCCCATGATTATGATGTCATTTGATTTGAATTGTGAAATTATTTTTTTATTGTATATACATGATAAATTGTTAACAAATTGTACTAGAGTAAAAACTTCTCTATTTCTTTTATTTTCTATATGAACAATTGCTTTTTAACATTGTATTGTTTATCATCATAGTGTAAACAGGCGTTAATCGTATGATTCTAAATAAATTTAGTTGTTGTATCATGGAGGAATATAGTCCTCTTCAGTTCTGCTGCAGTGATGTGAAGTTTTGAATTTACATCTCCAAGAATGTGAGGGTTGCAATTTGTCAATGTACACATATAAGCAGTGTTAAATATATGTAAATGATGGTACAGAAATATAAAAGATTATATAATTTTTTAAGGATTGTGTTGTATCCAGAAATAAACACACTTAATTGAAATTGTACTCTTTGTCATTATTATTGTTGTTATAAAATAGTTGAAATTGTTTGTAATGAAGGCCTACATTTTTGAGTGATTATACTCTAATGCTTGTAACTGAATTTTTTTTGCACTAAAAGCTCTGAAACTGTAGGTTGGATTACAATTTGCACACATACGCAGATCTGTATAAAGAGAGTGTTAACTGTATTTTAAAAAGTTTTCATTCATAAGCCAAGATATATGCAAAATATAATCTCAAAGCAGACTATGATGAGGCCACAAAACCACTAGCGCTTGACCAAATTAATGATTTATTTAGGCTGGCAGCATGTTGCGTAGTATCTCTATCGGTGGACGAAACAAAGCTCCCACTAATTAGCATACAGTACTTGGACAATTATTTATTTTTGGTAGTGATAAAAATTTATTTAAATAAGGTGAAGTACAGTGGTGTATCTGGGAGAATGCATGCCCTTCCAAAAATTACTCGCACCCCCCAGAAGTCCCCACCCAAAAAAAAAAAAAAAAATCATGGTGAAGTAGTTAAAAATCACCTTAAAATTAATTAATTAGCGCACTTCAACCGATGATCGAGGCGCCCCCCCCCCCTCCCTCCATTTAAAGACTTTCCCTCCA